TGATATAAAGTCTACCAACCCAAGGAAAATTGATAGAACTTACAGGATACGTACATCAAAAGTTTGTAGATATAGATATCATCACTAAAAGAAACTTGAACGTAGTTGATCAAAAGCTCACTTTAGTTTATCACTCTAAAAATACATTCACGAAACCCTAGCTAGTCCAAGCAAAGGAAAATGCAAAAAGATGCAGAGAAAATCTCTAATTTATTTATTAAATATTTGACAAAAACTCTCTTACAAATAAGCAAAAGTTTGCTTAAATATCAATCCTAATTTCCGGTTAGGGTTGATAAAACATGTTCTAATTAAACTACAAAATCCAAGTTTGGCAGAACCTCTTTAAAAAAACAAATAGAAAAGAATTCTTTCATGCAACCCATATTTAATTAGAATTTTAACTTAGAGTGTCCAGATTAAATAAAGATGCATATAACTTAATAATTCTGAATAAAATAAGGGTCCAAACCCAAATAAACTAGGCCACATATTCGGCCAATAAAAAAAATACACATGAGGGCTAATTTAATTAGCCTCAGTCCAAACAATTAATTAAAACAACTCAAAATAAATAATTATTCAACCCATCATAAGTCCTAATTAATGCATAATAAATAAAACCAAGAGATAGAAGTCCTAAATGTTTCGGCCAAGCTTGCAAAATTCGACCATATGATTTTTGAGGAAACACTCTTATGTCATTAACCATCAGAATAGCTTTTCTGAGCACCCTTGACACTACTAACTTTGGTGTTTCCTTTCTAAAAATGCAGAATAAAGAAAGATATCATCATCATTATTCACATTCCCAAAAGGAGGCTGAACTTCTAGCTGAACAAATCCGGATGTTGAAAATCCGAGCATCGTAAAAAACAATCAATTACTATGAATGACCTTAATTCACACTAGTATTTTATCACAGTTTCACATGTTAATCTATTGGTAAATTGAAGAACGTGATAATTGAGGGAGACGCTAATTAAAGTGATCATTGACGCAATCGACAAGGATGGGTGCTCTGAAGGATGTTTTGTTAGATAATGTTATAGTTAGCAAGTACTCAGCTAAGTAGATGTCAATAATGATGCATTTAATTGTATTGTTCATGGTATGTCAATAATGTTCTTCTCTCGATAAGTTTTGCCGGAGTTTATTTTTATTTATTTTCTTTGCAAATGAAATGCCTATCTTTTGCTGGAAAAAAGAATAGAAATGGTTGGATGATAATTGAATTTAAATATTTGATTTAGTATTTGTTTGACATTGAAGGAAAGGGTTTTTTTTTTTTTTTGTCAAAAAATCAATCCAGTCCATTTGTAACTAAATATTGACAAAAAGATTCACACAGATCCTACATTTAAAAACTAAAAAGCTAGAAAAATTCCATTCTGAAGCGTTTATAGCTTTTTTAGTTTCTTTTCTATATTATTCATTACATTATTTTTTTATATTATTAATTTTTAATTTTAAAAAATAAATTGGCAAAAAAAAAACATAAATTGAACAAAAAAACTAATTAATTAGTTTTTTTTAAAAAAAAGACTAATTAATTTGTTTGTCAGAACTAAAGGGACTAATTTATAATTTACTGAAGTGATAAGACCTTTAGCGGTGTTTTTTTTTTAGCTAAAAGAGAGGTCGGAAAATACTTCCGTACTCTGTTAGCGCCTGTTACTCCATGCTTCATGCACTAAAATTTCGACACATATATTAATTAACATATTAAATTAAAATGGATATAATTTTTATTTTCATATATTATTTTATTTTTCTAAGTCACTGAAACTCGAGATATTTTGTATAGTGAAAAAATACCATTGTCACTTAAGATATAATTCATTAACAACATTGTTAATTTATTATAAATACCTGACGTGAAACTTACTTCACTTGTATTTACAGACAGAATAAATTAGAACGAAGATATAAAATTATCCTTTTATAAAATCCAATTATGTAAGAGAAAATAAAATCTATAAAACCTTCTGGTGATTAAAAAAAAAAGTATGAAAATATTAAAGAGAAGAAGTGTGATTGCCCTTTTATACAATTTAATCATTTGAGATTGAAAAAAGAAATCTACAAAATCATATAGTTATCAAAAGCCATATAAGGAATTTTTTAAAATTATATCCGTCTTTTAATCCAAAGATGAAATGGAGGGAGGTGAGCAATTGGCTTAAGATTTTACCTTAGAGATGGGGTAGCATCAAGAAAATTGGAAAAATCTAGACATTTCCACATGGCATATTGTAGTACCATTTTGTGCCACGTGTTATTATATTGTTTTTATATATGAGTATTATTTGGTTAGTAGAGTATTATCAGATCATTTTCTTATCATTTAAAATTAAGTTCATTATTTTCTATACTAAACTAATACTAGATCACATTTAGTTTTGATGGATTTTTATTAATCAAACTAACATAATAAAATGTTTAACTTTTGATCGACTATCGAAATTCTTTTTAGATCAAATAAATTCAAATATGATATCATTAAAAAATAATTATAATTAATCATTCATAAATAATGAGAATTGAATTTTAATTTTGATTAAATCAAAACAATTCCTTTACTATTAGATTATATTTTTTGATGATTTGTTCTTTTATGTAATGCCTGTAGTTTCACAATTAAGAGCATTTTTTTATTAATTTCTGTACATTGTTTTTTTTTTTTTCCTCGAGTATTAAACAAACTATTCACGACCAAAAGGGCCATGGATGGTTAGACTATTGCAATGTTTTTCTCTCTCTTGCTTTGTTTTTTCTCTTCTTTTGTCAAGTATTTAGAATTGGATCGATAGTGGATTCCACTAACGTGAATTTTTCTCACGTTGCAAATTCATGATTCTTTATGTGTGGAAACCTGAACACCGTCTGTCATTAGCGGTGGATCGATCGAGTACCCAGGGAAAAAAAAAAAAAAGTATTTGTATGACCTGTGGTACACGGGCATCCTTTGAATCAATGTTTCAATGCAATTTGTTGAAAGTTGCCCTAATTCCTATGATCAGAGATATAATAGCATAAACGTTTTTTTTTTCCTAAATATAAAAAATGAGTAACATATGGTAACATTTTTATTGATAAACATTGTATCTTCCCTTCCACGTATATCAAAATCAAAATTTAGTGTATATATATATATTATGAGTAGAATTCGAATTCTCAATTGAATTAGTTTTATTTTTTACCATTTAATCCATTTTCTTAAAATAAAGATAACATAAATGTTACAATCAATTAAAGTAGCAATGTCACTAGAGTGTAGTTGGACTTGAATTTTCTAATGATAGTTAGAAAACAGTACTCCATGTGTTATTCATGTCTCATGGGCATAGGTGTGACGTAGGACATTAGGTTTTATTTTCAGCTCTATTTGGAAATTATAGCAGTTATCATAGGCAAATTTTAATATATAATTTCCAAGCTTGTATTTGTAGCAGTTTCAACATTTTTTTTTATCATAATAATTGTTATTATTTTTATTGCAAAATGATTAAACTATTACGATTGCTTATTACCCTTAGTGTTGTATGCATGATAGACTCATATACGTCGGAGGTCAATGTCTACTCCTATTATTTAAGAAATTTCATCAAATTTAGATGGAGACCATTTAAAATTTTATAAATTAAAACATAGAACTAACTGATTAATAATTTTATTAAAACCAAGAGAACTTTATTAAGATTAAATCCTTCACGTTCAGATCTTAAGACAACTATATACATTTAAAATAGGATTCATAAAACATCACCTTTTTTCTTAGTATTAAAGTTCAAGAATGCATATAAATGTAAAAAGCAAATCCACTTATCAATTAGATAAGCTTTTATTAGTAACAAAACAATAAAAAAAAGGATAAATAGAATAATTTATTTTTATATAATAATTTGAATCTTTAATATGTCTCTACGTTTTTAATTACATTTATTATATTTGTCAATAATATTTAAATTTTCAATCTCGTGTTTTTGATAAATTTTTCAACCGAAATACTTCTTACCGAAATGGGAAAAAAAAATTTAAGACGTAAAAAGTAGAACAAGTCATGTAGGTTTAACTAATGTTTTTCTTTATTATTATTATTTTATATTTCAGTTAAGGATTTCAATAAAAAAAATACTCATGAATGAAAAACATTGATTAAAATGATAGATTAAGGACTTAAACATTATTCAAAAATATAATAAATACAATAAAAATGTAATAACATATTAGAAACTCCAAGTCCAATGCATATTTGCATCTCAATTCTCAATTAATATTTTTTTCATATCTTATCTTTGAAAGTAAAAATATAATAATTATCCTTTGATCCAATCCAAGAAATTGAACACACCAAAAATTTCGCCATTATATGCCCACTCATTCACTTGTGCATGTACCGATTTTTTTTCAACTACAGAAAGTAGATAGTCCAACTCACCTATAATAATTAAAAAAAAAAAAGAAGAGATTTATATTATTACTTAACTTGTAAATATCGGACACTGGGTGGTTCGCAACAATTGGAAAAGATTTTCACTGTTCCAACCCTTTGCTTTGTTCCTTGTATGAGCCACAGCCACGAATACGGTAAGAATGGGACAAAAAGAAAGGAAGAAAGAAGGAAGGAAAAATTGCAACAAGTTGGCACTAGGCAGGAAGGAATTAACAAAAGGCTAGCAGCGCTCTTGAAATTCTATCCACAATAACAATTGGCGAGTGGCGACTAAAGACACGCAAGTGACTGACTTCTCTTTTTTGGCAGTTAGCCCTATAATAACAAGGCCAAAAAAAGACGTTTGAACCTCGTTCTTGGTCGGTCCCTTTTGTCTTAAAACCAAAGAGGAGAGGAGGGGAAAGGAGAGGAGAACTTATCCTTTCTTTCTTCTTTCCCAGTTACATTCAACATTTCAAACCCACAAAGGGCAAGTCCGGTCGGTGCCTGGTAAGAGGGAAAGGGGATTTCTTTTGGACTGGAATTCCTGCATTTCTGCCAAAACATGGTTTGCAGAATTGCAGACCCTTCTGTTATCCTCTTCACGGTATAGTTCTGTGTATTAAAAATGGTTCTTTGCTTTTGTTGTTTTGGTTATTTTTTTATTGGTGTTTTTTGGTTTGATTGTCAGGGTCCCCATCAAAGAACAAGGAGCCAAAAGATCACAACCCATTACTCTCCATGTATGGTAATCTCTCTTTTTCTGTCTCTTTATTCCAATTTGGTTGTTTTGTTGATAATTTAGCTGTCTTTGTACTACTTGATGGGATTTAGGTTTTATTTATCTGGTACATTTCTTTAGTTGAAGTTCTCTGCAATTTTAGTTCTCAACTGCATTGTTAGTTTCGCATGTAAAGTTAGTGTCAACTATTGGAAATGCTAAAATTTTCTTATACCTAACAATCTGACAACGTATCTAGCCGAGGACCTCACTTCAGTATCGAAGAACTTTCATGTTCCTTTATGGGAATATTTCATATTATAATTCCCTTCCTACTGGTTGAGCTGAGTTATTTCATCACCGTCTCTAGTTGAGCTTCTTTGTTCCTTGATTTGGTCACTTGAATCGGAATCTCTTTCACGCCTGGCTGACTGAAAGAGTGGAATGGAAATCGGTTTAGCCCAAGAAACTTGAAAGAAAGCTTGAAAATTAACGAGTATATAAGGATTATGCATTGATTACTTAATTATTAGATTTGAAGTTTTGAGACTTTCACAATTAATGTGCTTTTCCAATTTCATTCAGGTTTGAGTTGGTGATGTGAATTGTTCAAATGCTCCATACATACTCATTTATTCAATTTGGATACTTTACTGAAGTCTCCATTATGTGATTCCCACATATTTGCCTTCTGTAAACAGCTCAAAGTTGTACTGCTATTATATTGAAATTTCATAATGTTCATGAGTAGTCAACTTATCGTCTTTTTTTAATCTATATTTCAACAAGACAAACCAACTTTTCTTTGAGATAGCCCGTTTCAGGTGGGGTTATATTTGCCTTGTTTGTTCTAATTTAGAATGTCTTCCAGGTAGTATTTATGAACAATTCCATTGAGTATCTCGCTGTTGTCTTTTGCTGTGCATACAGAACTATAGACAATGCTTATCTTGTTGAAAGAGTACTGGCCTTATATTCCGATATAGATTATCGCTACATGCAATATTTTTCCTGTTATTCATATCACCAACTTATAATCGTTGCTTCTTTTGATAGACAGGCATCCAGCATTTAACATGGGACAGGCTTCTTTTGAAGGATGAGAAACATAAGAAATGGTTGATTCCCATGAGAAGAACTAGAACTGTACAAGCTGTGGATGTTCCAGTTGCACCATCTTCTGCAGACTGTGCGAAGTATAGAAAACAGTTGGCAGAAAGTTATGGCTTCAGGCAAATTGGAGAACCACTCCCTAACAACGTTAGATTAAAGGATGTCATGGATACGCTCCCTAAAAAGGTAAACTTTTCTAATAATCAGCTTCATCATACATCTAACTTGCCTTGTGTTATTTGCCTAAAACATGGTCCACTATTTTAGATTTTTTCCATTCTGAGCACCTAGGGGGATTTATGAGCTAATATCAATCGTTGCAGACCTGCAATAAATTTAGTTGTCTCTTTGTGTCAATCATCTACTTGAATAATAGCCCTTTACACATGATCTGGAGAGAAGATATTATGCCATGGAGTGTTGCATGATGCTTCACTTTTTGATGGCAGCTTCAACTGCCACATATAAGATGACTGAGTATCTTATGAAGCCAGAAACAGAGAAACCTTAGAAGGTTTGCTGGTGGGGATAATCTGGGTTTGTCCTGTCCCTCACTACTTCGTACAAGTTCAAGGTTTAAGAGCAGCCATCACATTCAAAAAGTTGAAGGATCAGAGGACTATATCTACGATTTGCTTATCCTGATTGTGTTCCTGTGGGGTGTGCTGTCATAATTGGGAAATGGCCTTTATTTTCTTTTTAACTAGGCAGTGACCTCCCACATGTTAAAGCAACTGTTGTCGATTCTTTCATGGACACGAGCTTTGACAAAAAAAACAATGACAACTCTAGTACCAATCTCCTCATTCTATACTTTCTTTTTCAAATTTTGGCTGTTAGGTGTTTGAGATTGATGATGTGAAGGCATGGAAGGCAGTTTTAATATCAGTCACTTCATATGCGTTGGGGCTCTTTATGATTTCAAAGGCCCCATGGTATCTACTTCCCTTTGCTTGGGCATGGACAGGGACTGCAGTTACTGGGGTTAGTTCTGTACACATCTTTTCTTACTTACCCATAATCTTGTTTGCTATGCTTACATGTTTTAAGCATCATTAGTTCCTTATCTTTGCCAACCTTTCTTATTTTTGTTTTTCTCTCCCAATGAAGTTCTTTGTTATAGGCCATGATTGTGCTCACAAATCATTTTCAAGGAACAAATTAGTGGAAGACATTGTGGGAACTCTGGCCTTTCTGCCTTTAATTTACCCATATGAGCCATGGAGGTTTAAGCACAACAAGCATCATGCGAAAACTAACATGTATGAATGATATTCCTTAGTGGTTCATTTATTTCTGTGGAAGTAAACTCCATTTTGTTTGTCCCAATTATTCTAGTAACTACATCATCCTCTCTCATGATGGGGAGGAATGCTTTATTTGGATGTCAGCATTTCTAATGACAAACTGAGTAGCATAAATGAAGAGGAAATGCTCCATGCTTGCTTCTTCTTTTTTTTACTGTGTTTTTACATTGGTATTTGTAGTATCTTCATTATTTATATGTGAGATTTCTATCTAAAGAATGCCTATCCTTTCCCCCTGTTAGAACTTTGTTATTGCGTACATGTATTTGCATAGGAGCATATGATTATTGCATTGCTTGGTAATCTGTCTGGTTCCTGCTTTAATTAAAATTGTTCAATTATCTTTGGTTTCTCCTTTTAGCTTCTTCTGCTTCATCTTACACTTATAGGTTAGAGGAAGATACAGCTTGGCATCCTGTTTGGAAAGCAGAGTTTGATTCCTCTCCTATTTTACGCAAGGCAATTATATTCGGATACGGCCCATTTCGGCCGTGGATGTCGATGGCTCACTGGTATGATATATATTATAAAAGAATCATTTGGTAATCAGAGCTTGTAACTTTGTGAGCTTTATACACTTACTCCAATTTGATATAAAATTGTCCTTGTCCTCACATCATTAAGCATCCAAACAGGTTGATATGGCACTTCGATTTGAAAAAGTTCAAATCAAATGAAATCCAAAGGGTGAAGATAAGTTTGGCATGTGTTTTTGGGTTTATGGCAATTGGATGGCCTTTGATTATCTATAAAGCAGGGATTATGGGATGGATCAAATTCTGGTTAATGCCGTGGTTAGGCTATCACTTCTGGGTATGCTACTTGCTGGTCTTTGTTGATTGTATGATACAGCACTGCACTTTGGATTGCCAACTCTCAACCGCAGTTATTTTAGATTCATTTTTCCTTTTTCTTTTTTTTTTTCTTTTTTTAATTTCGACATCCATGCTAGGGTTTTGTCATCGTGTTGACACGAAATCATTAACCGGAATGCATATTATGAATCAAACGTTGGAATGTTCAATGCCTAATCATATTACTTCAAATATGTCTTTCTTAGAAGTTAATAGTATTGCTTTTGTCACAAAATAACACACACTTTGTTCAGGGAATCATGATGCAAAAATTAAATTAAACTTTGTGATAACTACTTATTCCCAGAGCATTGCCTTCCTCCACTGCAATTTATGCTCATGTGCCTGGAACTTTAGGTTAAGTTTATTATCACCTTAATTTGTGAGCCAATTTCACAATTGATACATAACTGCAGAGTTTCATATGATTTACAGTAGGTCACTCAATGCTTTGACTTGGTGATCTGCTGTATTTTTATTTTATTTTTTTCAAAAAATGATCGACTTGATTGCTGAATTGCATTTCATCTATTTTTGTGTCTTATTAGTTTGGTTTTCTTGACTTTTATAGATGAGTACTTTCACAATGGTGCATCATACAGCTCCTCACATTCCTTTCAAATCTTCGGATGAGTGGAATGCAGCTCAGGCCCAGCTTAATGGAACAGTTCATTGTGATTACCCCAGTTGGTAATATATCTCTCTGCTCTGACCATTTCTATTGTTGGTAGTCTCTTGCTCTTCGATGCGACATACTTGTGATATATTCTAGAAACTGATGCAGTCATATGGTAGATTCCGTTTGATTTAATCCCATAACCTTTCATATTTTTTAAGACTCTTGTTTGATGCTCCTTCTAAAAGCATCTCAATTTCTTGCTTGCTTGCTTGGCTTAGAAGTTTTTTAACTGTGGGAAGTCGCAGTTTTTTTAATCTTACTGTCATCTAATAAAAGTTCCAAAGCTGTCTTCGAACAAGATGCTTTAGCGAGTTGATGAGCTGATGTAAGAAGGGCTTGCTTCAGATCAATGCAGTTTCGCATGTTTTAAAATGTTGGGTAAATTTTAATTTGGCCCCCTAAAGTTTAGGGATTTCTCAATTTCTCCTCTGAGATTTCATTGGAATCAATTATCCTTCTGAACTTTCATCAAAGTTTTAATTCTTTCCTTCCATCTATTAAACTAACATAACTAATGAAGTGACATTTTTTATGTTTCAATTGACTTTCTAAAGTTTTAGAAAAGTTTTAATTAAGCACGCATTCCTCAATCATATTAAATATCTTGTTTTTATCATATAGGGTTATATTTTCTTTCTTGATCTCATATTTCTCAAATTTATAAAATATATTAAAAAAAATATTGATTAAAATGCGTAAACTCAAACTATAAATCTTGCATATTTTAATGAAATCATAATGATCTAATGCCAAGTTAACATGGCTTATTGATGAAAGTAAAAAAGTTACATAATTTGGTATCATCTTTTTTATATTCTTACTTTCAAAAAATAAAAAACATGTGTTAATTGTGTAAAACGTAAAGTTTAATATAATAAAATTAATAATACTAATACACCACATATATATTTTTGTTCAAATCATAATTGAAATTTCTATTTTAATCTTTCAAATCATGTTAAAATTCATAAACTCAAAATAATAACTAATGATGTAGCATTTCATAATTGAAAATAATACTACTTTTTATTTTTATTTATTTTTCAAATTTTAATGAGACAAATTTTATAAACTTCAATATGGTTGAAGAATAAATATTTGATTGATACATTTTTAATAATTGCCATCGATAGTGAATTGTTGTTTTCCCACTTTTCAGGATTGAAATCCTATGTCATGATATCAATGTACACATACCCCACCATGTTTCATCGAGGATACCGCACTATAATCTACGGGTGGCTCATAAATCTCTTCAAGAAAACTGGGGAAAGGTATGAACAATCAAGATACCGACTTATAGTTTGTTTGTTAGAGTGAACTTTTCTATTAATGATGGTCATTTGTATAGAACCTTAACCTAGTTTTTATCATGCATGTTGATAGTATATGAATGAGGCTGCTTGGAATTGGCGTTTAATGAAGACAATAATGACATTGTGCCATGTTTATGATAAGGAGGAAAACTATGTTGCTTTTGACAAGCTTGCTCCTGAAGATTCTCAACCAGTAGCATTCCTTAAAAGAGTGATGCCTGATTATGCTTGATTTTTTTGTGACTCATCGTGTCTTTTGTCTTCGGCTCTTTCTTACTGTTATCTTTCTTTATTGGGCTCAAATTAGGTATATGCCATCCCAATTCTTTACATTTTCTTGCCGATGTTGAACCGTTCTTTTTAACATTTCTAATCAAGTAGAGGGTGATAATCTCAATGAAGAAGCTCCCTGGAAGTTTACTATTGCCTTTTTGTATGAGAAAAATCTATTAAAGAAGAGTGGGATTCGATTGTTAAGTTTTGGTTATGCCAACGTTACCCTACTTGTGTAGTTGTTGGACAAGTTCATGCTCAAAAAGGGTCTGCTCTACTAAATAAAATAACAGACAATGATCTCTTTCTGAAGAGCATCTTTTTTCTGCAAGAAAATATGTGTCGCTGGCATTGAATTTGATTTTCACAAGCTGTAACTAGGCTGGATCCTGTATGACAATAGTGGGGGAGGGTCAAACCGCGTTTTTCAATCTCTTCTGGGAAAATCTAATTTAAAACACTGACAACCATGGAGCAAAAAACCAAGTCTTGTTGATTCAGTATCATAAATTGTTGAACAATTCATAGATAATTTATTGGAATGTCCAGTTTATGAATAGTATCATAGGTAGGGTTTGGGTGGTGAACTGATAATCCTTAATTTGCATGTTTGGTACACCAGAAAAGGAAAGATCATTGGTACTGAAGACCACGATGCATAACATCATCATTGACCCCGACACTGCAAAATAAGGCTAAGGTTCATCAACTTTATACGTAAAAAAGAAGACAAGCAGCTTAGCAGTTTCAACCGCTCACATGGAAAAGCTCTGACACATGCATAAAAAACTGACGAGGATCCCATTAACCTATGTGGGCAGTGGGCTTGTTTAGTAGGGATTTGTTCCCTCCATGGAAGTTAGAAATTTGTTTGTGCAGAAAGGGGAAAAAGTATTCCTGGATTAGTATTATAAGATTGAAATGCAGACAAGGGGACTCGTGAAGTAAAGTAATTGGATAAGTCAGATTTCCCAGAGGCAAACTAATAAAAGCTGAGAATTGGATTTGTTGATGTGGGTGTGATCATTAACAGATTTGGAACATTAAAAAAAGTTAATTTGTCCAAAGTACATAATGTTATTATACTAAAATGTCCTAGGAGTCCGAGTAATCAAGCTCACCTGAAATAAAGCAATAGGCAATAGCTGAACTTTATGCAAAGTGAACTACCAGCTCTACCTGGCAAATCTACTGAGACATTCAGCAGCTGCAACTGCTCACATGCAAAGAGCATCTCTGATCTGTGTCTCTCTCTCTTTGCACATACACAGACACGTGCATAATCTGCAACCTTTCATGAGATCTCGAGAGACCAACGAAATGCACTGCAACTAAAGAGGAAGGAAACGAGTAGTTCTTAACTTTGTGATAGAAGGGGGTCAAAAGAACAAAAGAGGAAGATGGTCAAAAAGAAAAGAAAAATGTAAAAGAGCCTCCTTGGGCAGTTCAAAAATGAAAGAAAAGAACCATAATTTGTGGAAGTAGGCCCCTAAATGATTATATACACGTTCCTACCAAGCAAATAGATGTGCCATTGGGATATATAAGCAAAGTTTAACAGATTCATTTCTGGAAACATCATCCAATGATTGCATGATCCTCTACAGATAACCAAGATGTGGCCTTACGGCATCTGAACAATCAGTTTCTTTCTGTAATAATAAGCAATCTGTTCCATTTCTTTGACAATGGACAAAACCCTTACAAATTCAGCACTCTTAAATTATATGGTAGTTATAATCTGTACACACACAAAAGTATTAGACCTCCCTATTTCAAGGTTTATCTAAGCTGTAGTTTCTGACAAGATTCACTTTCTATCTTCTATAATCTAAAGGGAAAAAGAAAGAAAAACCATTTATATGAAGATATAATAAGCAGTGCTATAAAGCCAAGTAAACCATGAGTTGAATCATGAAACTGGTGGAGGTGGAGTTTCCCATACATCAAATACATTTTCCTCGCTGTGAAGGGCAAAGAGCCGATCCCCACCAATCGAAAAGTCACAGATTGAACCTCCATAACTCCGGCGAAGCCTAGATGTCAAAACCCAATCAGGACCACAAAACACAGAAACGCAGTCATCCATAGATGAAAACAGCTGCCCCTCATGTAATGCCAGTTTGGGATAACAAGGCTCCTCAGACAGTTTCCCTTTCATCATCCGACTTCTTGAGCTCCACCTCACACTCCCTCCAGTCATTCTCAAATCCATAAACCCCAAATCCTCATACTCATTCACCACACAAATAGCATTACTCTCCTCCATAGCTATAGCATCTCGCACTCGCTTCTCGTCCACAGTTGTAGGAGCACCAAAATCAGACCAAGACCACACCATCCTCTTATCCCTGAAATCCAACATACTAATGTAACAGTTATCTTTCCTAGGAAACAAAGTAGCCACCAACAAACAATTGCTCCCATTCAACCATTGCAACTTATCAGCATCACCTAATGACCAACCCGGACTCTCATAAAAGAAATCAATCTGTTTTCCAGTAACTTGATCCCAAACTCCAATCCCATACTCATTACTCCTTCCTTTACAACTACTAAATATCTTATAATCAGAACTTGTACTTAAAGCCCCAGCAGTGAAACTCTTCACTTGATTATCATGGCAAACCTGAAACTTGTACCTCAATTCCCCTGTACCCTTACTAAACAACCCCATCCCTCCGTCCCCGCGGCCTAATTTCTCACAAGCACTAATAATTATGTTCTCACTGTCAACCCAGCCAACATCATTGACTCTTTGATAATCAAGATTCAATGGAGGGTGCTCTTCCATAATCCAATCATAAACATGAACAACACTACCATGAGCCACACAGCACCCACCATCAGGACCAGCACGAATCGCGGTCCCGTCCCCTGGTGCCCGTCCTGTAACAGACCGCGAATGGCGGAGCCTGTTGCCATCAAACTGTCCCCATTTCGCTGATCTTACATGGTCCAACAAACCATAAAAGGAGGCCTCTCTGTAGAGGTGTCTCTCAGGGATGTTTGGAGGGATATTGAGATCGCCGGTGCGAAGAAGATCAAGGAGAACAGAGAAACAATCAGGGTTTCTATCAATGAAGAATTCACAATTGGAAAATGAGTCATTGTTTGGTTGCTTTAAGGTCCAGTTTTCACTGAATAATGCACCAAAAAACGAGTTTCTGCCTGCATTAGCTAACGTTGTTGAGGTTGTTTCAAAGATTCTGCCTCCTACATTGAATCTAACTCGGTCTTTGGAAATTTTCATGGTGAAAATAAGTTTTGTGAGGCAGAATTTTGAAACAGAAAAGCTTTAGAATTTGATATTTTTAGTGGAGAAAATTAGAGGAGTAGGCCTGTAGATATAATTTGAAAATAGAGATAGATAAAAATTTCCTAGAAAGTTGGAGGGAATTGGGGATTGTGTTCTGCTAATTTAGTTTGGATGTAATTTGGTTGAGCTAAAAATAGGACCAAATTAACCCATTAAAGAAGAAATCATAACAGACAAGATCATAAAGAGACAGAAATAGAAAGCAATAAACACATGAACCAAAAGGGCCTGATTTTGGAACTGATACAAGTTCAAAAAATCAGAACTTGAAAAAAAACAGAGCTCGAAACAGGGGAGATACAGGGATTACAAAAGGATAGAAACTTTGACGAAACTAAAGAAAATTAAGATCTGGGTTTTGACGAGGGAAGGTTTATAGAGGTGGGTTTTTAATTTTGAGGGATTTGGTGGAGAGGAATTGGAGAATTGAAGCAGTGGGAATTCAAAAAATATCGTTTCATTTTGATATATATCTCATCTCTCTCTCTTACATTGCTTTCTCCATGTCACTCTCCCTCTCTATGTCTTTCCACGTCTGCCCGTCTTTCCCTTGGTCTTCCGATGGATGGACCTGCAGTTGTTGAGCTTTATATAAATATAAACAGTGGTGGGCTCCATTTCATTTTTGTTCCCTCCTTTTGTTTTATGTCGAAATGATGATCCAATGGTGGTGATGTGATCTGACCTCATGGAGGACATACATGTTTATCTCAGATTCTCAGTGGGATACGTCTTTGGCCCTTAAAGGAATTTGGTTTGCTGAATTATTCAACGGGTTCCTTGTGAAAAATCAGCTCTCTCTTGACCTGCAACAGAGAGAGCGTGTATTTGGTTATTTTGGGGTGTCTTGACGTTTCATTTATTGGTAAGAATATGATACATGACACGAAAGTTTTAGACTTTTCTAAAGAGGCTAATTGTTTTTGTTAATCCTTCAAATCATGCATTCACGAACCTTCTTGTCTGTTGCCATGAAATTGACAATGTGAAAAATCAGTTCCCCAACAAGGAATTGAAAAATCGTCCAAAACAGGTGTTTTCCCTACCTTCAAACAGGAAAATTATTGGAAGTTGTGCTAAAAAAAGCTTTGCCTCCGATCATCATTTTAGGTTTAAATTCAAATATAAGTTATTAGCAAGGAATTTGTTTCAATAAACAGATGAGTTTAGAGTTTAGATGCGAATAATCAGTTAAAAACTTATTTCTTTATTCAAAAAGGTTATCAAGCACATAAAATATTATGATGTTAAGAAATATTTTTATATTAACTGGAACATGAATCCACAATTTTTATATTATCTTGTGAAATCTTTCAGAATTTGAATTTAAAATATTAAAAAAATATATAGCAAACTCCTTAAATCACTAAACTAATCAAGGAATCCTTTACCTTTGCCAAGCAAACATTGGGAAAAATAATCATTTAAAAATTCAAACATAAAATATATTGAACTAAGCTAAGCAAGGAATCCTTTACCTCTAGCAAGGAAACATTGGGAAATTTACTGAACTGTTAGGTGTGAGTGCATTCCTTTTCATATTTTTAGCTTTCAAAATTGACTTTGTCCAACGGCCTTTGGTGCTCGACTTTATTACTCCATTTTTTTAGCAAGGAACCCTGTGGTGTGATAACTTGCGGGTCGTGGACGGCACATTATGACGCTTATAATGGTTCCTCGGAGTACTAAAAAAAACTAATGATAAGCCGAGTTTTAAAATTTACTTCTCTTCTCTTTTCCTTCTTTCAAAGCACGTTTTTTTCTTTTTTCTTTTTTTTTTTTTTTAATAGTAAGAATACTCTCGGATTAATTTTTAGATATTTTAAGATTAATTTTTTTAAAATATGATTAAAGACATCCGTTAACATATGATCTTAGATATTTTGATAATAAAATTTTTAAAAATAATAATCACAAGAATTAAATTCTAAATTAAACATGAAAATTGACGTTTGTTTATCAGGAGACTATCATCTTATTGTTTCAAGATATACAATCTCTTAAAAGATTTTTTTTTTCCTCCCTTTTGTGAACATTCGGATAACCACTTCTCCCAACATTAATCCTTACATAGAATGATTTGAGGAGATGAGTCACTAATCTATCTTTATCTGGATTTATGAGTTGGGTGGACATAATTCACTAATCTATCCTTATCTCATCAATGATGGTTGTAAATTCCTTTAGTGCTTAAGCACCTGACACATTAACAGTTGGACTCACAAATTATTGACTTAAATCATTCATATGCTAATACGGATGAATGATCATTTCCACTCAGAAGCTTATTATGATAAGAGAAAAAAATAAATCAGAATAGCTATATTGCTAATATAAGTTTGTATAACTTTTTTTTTCGATTTAATCAGTTTATACATCAATCGAAATTTTTTTTCGAATAATTTAAGTGTATTTTTAAAATAGTTTTGGAACATTTGAAGAAAATATAATAGATCTACTGGTTATTGACTCGAAGATTTAAATAAAATAAGTTAAAAAAACATATTTTTTTAACCACAAAGGCAATCTCAAAAAAATATATATATATTTATAAAGTTGTGAAAGTGAGAGACAAACCAAGGGTGATATATACACAGTATTTGTAAGATCATGCCATGTCAAAAATAGTTCTTAAGCATCATGACATGGAAGTTTAAGGAATGTGGCCAAACTTAGAGTCAAAGAGAGACACCTCTGGACTATCCAATTTAAAATGCTTGGAAAGAGGGTTATGGATTATGATTGACACTCACTAAAGGAACTTCTTAGTTTCTGTCCAAAAAAAATAATCAAATTGTTACTTCCGCTTCATGATGCCATTATTAGAAGTTATCTTCAAACCAAAGACACTCACTGGATAAAGTGTTCTACTTTGTCCGGTTCTCCTTTGAGTTGGTCGCCCATAGCCTATCAATACACATCATGTAAGTGCTTAGATGTTAGGTGGGTGTGTGTTTGTGTATGCAAATAAAATTACCAAATTTAGTTGGGATGTCAATCAGATCAAGATAATGATAACTGAAGATGGCGAAAAGGACCAATATATTGCTTGTTTTTGTTCAAAATTCACATACCAACAGTAAGCGCACTGCCCTAAACCAGTGGTATTCATAAATTGGGTTCAAGGCCAATCGACAAGCTAATGAATTTCATTATCAGCAGCTTCTGTCAAATGTATTTGTGCAGTGATTTAAGAGGAGAGTGTTTTACGAGTACTAATCAAAGAGGAAATAAGGAAAAACAATGTTTATTGCAAAAGTTTCAAGCAGAAATTGCATGGATGGAACCTCCCATTTTTTGCCCCTGTTTTTGTTCTTCTTGGATTTTGATTGGTAAGAGTAGGACGACGAAGAAGTGACGAAAGAAAAAGAAAGAGAGAATAGTTTAGCTAGCACTGAATCAAACAACTTCTGCCAAGATTATGAAACACATGGAAAACTGACATGCTTCAGTTTTTTAGACAGCTGCCCGTCCTTATTTCTTTGGTTAGTGACAGCCTAGACCGTTTCGCTGACACTCACGTTGCAAAACTATTGGTTTGCATAATTTTCTTTGGTTTATTCATCCATTGAAGTTGCTTGCTATTGTGTCCAACCAGCCAATGAATCATCTTGGGAAGCTTGGAATGATCTTTTTTATATTTTGGTATTGAGAAATTATGATACTTGAAGAGAAGATGTTAGTATGGTCTTGTTTAGATTGATGATGTGCTTGTGAGCTTGCTTTAAATGGGATTTTCCAACTTCAGGGCCTGGCAACAACCCTGGTTCAAGAGGGTTTATTGGACAACGTAAAAGAGATCAACCCTGGTCTGCTGGGTGATTAAAATCCTCAAAAAGCACATTAAATTAGCATGGAAGATGTGCATAAAAATATCAAACTTGTAAGTTGTAATCATGCCCTTCAGTTTCTTTCTTTCTTTCTTTCTTTCTTTTCTTTTTCATTTGTTTCAGACAACTATGGTTGGAGACTTGGAGTGATCGGGACTGTGGTTCAGATCATGGGCTAAACGATACTTTATGGCACCAACTTGGCCAAGAACAGTCACTGAAATCACATGCCAAATTCAGTGACTCGCTGATTGAAGCACACTTCTTAAAGATAGGGTACTTTACTCACCTAAAGAACAATGAGAAGGGCCACTTGCAAACTGGAAAGAGTCGATAGGAATTCTCAGAGAAGAATTATTGGTTTGAAAATATTTGTTAAGCCCCATTGACTTTGGCTGCCTTTCGACATTCTAGTCTAAGAACGCGTACACAAATTGCGGCACTAATCACGAATTTGATAATGCAAGTAGGGTTTTGCACCTTCTTTGCTTTCTATTATTGATGTATTTTAAAGAACTTATCAAAAGAGTTGTGAACGTAAGAGTAACATCGGTCAAGGGTGGTCCTCCACTTAGAACACCATCCATACGACTCATAGTTTGTTTACCAGTTATAGTCAACTCTGTTACGCATCATGAAGCACCAACGCTTGGTAACTGGTCTTCGCATCCTAAAAATAAAGTCACTTTTCAGCATCTTCTGCATCCTCCTGCCCGTATCGACGCTTAAACTTCGCAATCTGACCTAAACTTTCAGCCATTTGCCGTTTTGCTCTAAAGTGGTAGACTTTACCAACCTGGTGTATTTTTGTCATCATAACATGCATCAATCTGCCACTCTGGGTCACATAGGATATCCATTGCATTTGAGGGTGGACTCCCTTCTTCATCTTGCACAAATCTGCATTTCAAAGAGCATCACACAGAGCTCAACATAACTCATCCTGAGTTATCCTTTCCAAACGTAAGAGTTGTTAATGAAGACAAGCTGATTAAGAACATTATTTAAGCTCGGACACATCAAATTAAATTAGGATATATGATTTCGGTGATTAACAAATCCACTTTTCACATAAGACCCACACTCAATAGAATAGAAAAATGAATCACCACCTCAATATTTTGAGGATCAGAGACTTCGGATATTTTTCACCAATGTTATTTAGATTTCTAAGGCTCTTCAACACAAATAGTTTTTAGAAAGTACCAGGACATAACACAGATTACAACGTTGATCATAAAAGACTATTATGTACAGTAGCCAGAGATAATCAAGGCATAAAAATATATTAATGACATGAATGCAACAGCAAAAGGGTATCTAAAAGTCAAACTAAGAAGTACATAAAGCCCTTAAAAGCACATATAGCAGATGTAACAAAAAAAAAAAAAATGAATTGGCCCCTGTAGAGAGGCTTGAGGAGTATGTGAAGGAGAATTCACATCCAGCTAAATCACATGGAAGATCAGAAGCATTAAAACCAATGGAACACCCCTAACCCACCCCCTGCAGGAAACTGTTTCTTCTTAAAAAATAAATAAATTCTTTTGTTTCTTCTTCTGGGAGCTAGGGTATGGATTTGGGATTGTTATCCAAAATGAAACGGGTGATTTGCTGCTGGAAGCCTTAGAACGTGTAATACAAAGCTTCTCTATTGATTTGGGTGAAGGGATTGCAATCGAAGATAGTTAGGGATTGGCTGCCAATAAGGGGTACCAGAACTTAACTATAGAGCCTGATAGTCTGGTTCGTATCCAGGTCATTAAAGTCCGAACTTACCTCTAAGTGAGTTGGCACAGATTGTGGGTGATATTCAGAGTTGGTATTGATGTTTTCCAAGAGGTCAAATTTCAACATTCTTCGAGAAGCTCCAATACTGCGTGGCTCATTCACTCAATGAATTGGCATAGATGTAAAGCTAGAGCAAATTTGTATAGAAGGGTTTCCTCATTCTATTGCTTCTCTTTCAGCCTATACGAATCCAACTTTTCCAGTTTATGAATGAAAGCTATGTCTTCCTATTAAAAATAAAAAAATTCACATTTTTCACAAGTAATCTTTCTAAACAATTAAAAAAAAAAAAATTAGCAAATGACCAAACTTTTCTATATAGCCAAACATGAAACCACAAATATAACTCAAACATAATGAGAAACCTTATTACTTCAAATGAATTAACTGCAAGCGAACCCATTACCCTCTAAAAATTATAGTCAGGAAACCCTCTAGAAATTCTAATCTAGCAATGGATATGCAAAAAAAAAAAAAAAAAAAAAAAAAGCTAGTCCTTTGATTCCAAACGAACAAATAAAATGATAAAACAAACATTCAAATTTCACATTTTCATTTTCTTTTTTTAACAATCACAAACACTAAAAAAAAAGACCAAAGGCACAAACTTTATCATTTCAAATGAATTAACTGCAAGCAAGAAACAAAAGGGCTTGATGGAGTCACTAACCTTATTGAATCAGAAACTTCAAAAACCTAATCGCTAGGATCTGGTGTTGTTTAGTCTCGTGTGTGTCAGAGTCTCAGAGAGGAGGGACAAGGAGAAGCAGACTCCTCTGTCTGCAAGTCCTTAGGTTAAACTTCGGACGGGTTTATCTGAGCTGGTGTTTTGGGAGTAAATTATAAATCAGTCCATCTAGTTTTGAAAAACGAATTAATAGTCTTTTTTATTTCAAAAACTAAATAATTAATTTTTTTTTTTTTTTTTTTACCAATGTTGGTTATAATTAATTTAATATTATTTTTTTCAAAACATGTTGTTTTTTTATCATTAATCCTTCTATTTTTTTACTTATTTTTTTATTTTTTAAAACAAAAAAAAAATCATAATAAATTGAAAAGGAGCCAAAAAAAAATATTAAGTTATAAAATTATATAGATACTAATGAATTATTTTTAAAAAAATTAGAAAGATTATTTAATTTATTAAAAAAAGAGAAACTAATTTATAATTTACTTGGTGTTTTGACCTAAAATTCAGAAATCCGTTAGTCAATAATGAGACAAATAAAGGCTCAATCAAGTTAAATATCTTTGTGTGTTTGTGTATATACATGTATTAAATTTCAAATTTTTTTAATAAAATTTGAGGATCTATCTTTCTTTCTTTCTTTTTTCTTTCTACAATTTATGAGGATTTATATTGTTTCTGGTGCTATCACGTAGTATTTGTACCTTTTTTTTATTAATACGAAATCCGAGATACACCAAATTAACATAATGGCTTCAAGGGAAATTGAAACTCAAGGTGAAAACAGAAACTTCCCAATTTTTAGAGTCCCATTTGAGATTAGGAACTACAAACAAGACCCAAAAAAATGAGCTTCAAGCGCGAACAAGAATGGAGGTGAGAAAATGCTTGCAAACACATGTATATATATATATATGGTGTCATCTTTATCAGCAATTTTATTCCAGCAGTACAAGCAATCGGGATATCAGTATAGACAGAGAAACTGGAGTAACAAAAAAATTGAAAACAGAGCTACGCAAAGATTTGTGTCTGTGTGAGCACAAACAAACGATCCTATTCCATTTCATACTTCTGCAAGCATTTTATTGTCTTGCTGCGTGACAACGAAAATAATTAACAACGAGAAAAGTTCAATACTCAGCGCAACTTTGGTGGGTACAGTTAAACCAATTACCTTGGTAGAAAAGCTGAAAAAAGCAAGACAAGTTGATAATATTCAAAACTCTGTTGATTTCCTAACTATTCCCAAGATTTTTTTGGGGTTTTGACTAAAATAACCATATATAGCTGATAAGAAATCAAATGCCCTGAGTAAAAGTTTAAGACTTCAAGAATCAGGTTAATTAGCACAACAATAGTGATGAAGTACTGATATGTAAAGAAAAAGTCCATTCGATCCAACAAACTAAGGACAATCCAAGCCAATCGGAAAACTTTATCTGAGTCGTGCTCTAGGAATGCATTAGAAGTTGCCCCCTGCATGTTCCATGCATGGTCTCCAGAGTCTATACCTTAGACCTTTATCGGAATTATGATATGTGGATGGAAATGGTTCTTGCAGGGATTGAGGCTTGGTAATGATGAAATTGTTCGTCTGCGCAACGATGATAGGAAGAACTTGTTTCGTCATAAGAAACTTAATTTACTAGGTGCTCGATCGAGATCAGACACTGCTTAATTCTAATCAGCTTATGGATATGACATCAGATGAGGAATACCTAAAAGGTCAAACAGATCCTCTGCAAGGTACTTTCTGTTACCTGATTATTGGTTCTTGTTGGTTACTGTTTTTTGTTCTTAATGGTTTTGTTTTTCTTGGAGATATACTGTCTCATTGATTTTCATATCTTGAACTATCATGTCCTGGCCAGTCCACATATTAGACAAATATTGATTGAATTCTGTAATCCTTTTTGATTTACTGAGTTATATTTTTGTCAAATGAACAGACATTTTAAACGGCAGCATCGATCTTCATGCTGAAGTTCATGGGCATGATGACCGCGTTAAGGCCCTTCGTACATACATTTCTCAAAGAAATTAACAAAAATGTTTGAGATGTGGCAATAGGACCTATGCATTGGAAATGGCTGAACTGCTTGACCCTGGAAGAAAGTACTTCGGTGATAGAGTCATTTCCCGTGATGATGGAACTCAAAGACATCAATAAGGTCTTGATGTGGTCTTAGGGCAAGAAAGTGCCGTTTTGATCCTTGATGATACAGAAAATGCGAGTACATGTGTTTATGCTCATGTGTGGCTATTTGTCCTTTAAATGAGTTGCCTGCTAAATTTCATGTATTATCTTACAGAATGTTTTAGGCCTGGACGAAGCATATATAGAAACAATTTAGTATTGATAGAAAGATATCTTTTCTTTGCTTCAAGCTGTCGCCAATTTGGATCAAATTTGAAATCTCTTTCAAGGCTGAAGAGCGACGAGACTAAAGAGTGATGAGAGTGATCTGAGGGAGTACTTGCTTATCCATTCTCAAGGTTTTAAGGAAAGTTCTCCACATGTTCTTCGAGTTATGTGATTTTTTCCGTTGTTTTTATCGATAATATTCCTTGTGTAATTTTTTCTTTTTCCTTTCAACAAGTGGTACTCGACAACTTGACAAGGATCCTTTTTCCAGGGCCTGGACAAGAATGCGAATGAGAATGATGTGAGAGTGAGACAGGAATTCAAAACATTTTGCAAAGATGTCTTGAAGGGCTGTAAAATTGTTTTCAGCAGAGTTTTTCCTACCGGATTCCGGGCTGATCATCACCATCTCTGGAAGATGGCTGAGCATTTAGGAGCGACTTGTTCTACAGAACTTGACACCTCAATGACTCGCGTGGCATCAAAAGATATTGGGACGAAGAAGTCGCCTTGGGCCTTGAAGCATATAGAAGTCCTTGGTCCATCCAGGGAAGCAGCAAATTTTTTGTGGCAAAAGCAGCCTGTACAGAAATTCTCTTTGGCAGGGGACTGTACTATTTACATAGTTTCCTGAAACGAGTTGGAGAAGAATTAAACTAGAAATGTCAATAAATGCTAAATTTGTTTTCTATTTGCCTAACATAAAAAAAGTTAAATATCCACGAACTCGTCACCACCTATTGCTAGAGGTGAGCACTATTCGATTAAGATAAAAAAATTGAATTGAACCAAATTGAATTAGCAATTTTGATTCGATTTTGTATAAAAAATTGAAAAATAAAACCGAAATTGAAATTATGTGGTTTTTTTTAAAAAAAAAAAAAAATTTGATTTCCATTGAAAATCAAATATTTTTTTTTTAACATACACACCTAAGGCTCCTAGCGAGAATTGTCCGTGAGGATTTGAACTCGTGACCTCTTACAAGAGACCACTAACACTACGTTGCAAGGTCGTTGATACCGAATTAATTAGGGATGAGCATTATTCAAGTTGTTATATTTGAATTTTTAATAAATAGGAGATCACTTAGACTTTGATTGTAGCATTTTATTATGATTTTCTTTGCTAAAACTTCAATTCAAACTATTTACATTCTTTGAAAATTGAAAAAAAAAATTGCCAAAAATGACTTTTTAGCTTGGTTCAAGAGAAAATTCAAAATTTTTTTTAAAAAAAAGAAAGAAAAAAGATCCTCAAAATTTTGATTTTTTTAACTGAAAAATCGAACATCTATTCGGTTCAGTTTTGATTTTTATTTTAATCAATTCAATTAATCAAAACCAAAAAAAAAAACCTACAATAAATCAAAAAACCAAATAATCAACCTTTTGGGTGATATAACAGTTTTGCTGTGGAATGGATGAGTCTTGGATCGGAAACACATGGATCTGATTAAACTTGCAATCACATGGCTGTGACTAAACTTGTAATCACCTGGAGTGGGGTTTTGGCTTATCAAGGCAGCCACCGTCTTTTCACCTTTCCCCTCAGACAAAGATGTTTGATGGCATTGGTGAAGTGGACTGGGATTGGAATCCTCCTGTGGGCAAGTCTTGTTTCCTAAACTAGTGGGTTCCAATCCAATGTGTCCGAAGCAATGCTGAGAATACTTAAAATTAGAACTTAAAGATGGTTTGTGCTGTAGAAAAATAGAAAGAAGTGAGTATTGCTGATAAGAAAAAGAAATAAATATATTATTATCATAAGCATCAGCTATTATTTGTAGATAGCTCGAGAATCTTAGAGCTGTAAAGCCCCTGTATCTTGTGCTTGCCAACCGACCAGTTGCAACACCGTTAGTCATCGACATCATCCATCAATTATGCCACTTTCCTCAGCATTTGGTGATGGTTGTAGAGCATCAATTTAATTATTTCATATCGATTCATAGTTTTACATGGACGGTAATTTTTAAAAAATTTATAGAATATTAGATCAAATAGATAGATCCATAATATTTCCTTTTTGTATTATAATTTGAATGTCCATGCTATAAACAGAGACAATAATTCTTATAGTCATCATTTGATAAAACTTTAATAAAAAATATTAGTGTAATTATACGATAAATAAAATTATCGAATTACGTAAATTTTTATGTTTTTATGATTATTTTTAGGTTTTTTTTTAATTCATTTCTTAATAATATCTTGTAATACGACAGGAGATCATACTAATTGAAAAAGAAAGAATTTCTTTATTTTAATGTTCATAGAACAAAAAAATATATATTATCTAAGAAAACCAAGGTATTGGGGAAAAAATATGCTGAAGCAATTAAATCCGCAAAAATAATTCCTCATCCGTCCAAATTTCCAAGCAGGGGTCCACTAATACCCGTGTAGTTCATTTCCTAAGGTCCCAAGTCCACCCAAATTGACCGAAACTGCGTCCACACGACAGCCCACCGCGTAAAAGACAACACTGAAACATCCCTCCACTCGGACCAATAAAAAGCACTCACTTTTGTTGGGATTTACTAGGATACCATTAGCTCTTAAACCCCCACCATCTGACCGTCTATCCAGTTGGCAAAAGACAAACGAGTAAACTACAAATCAGTCCCTTAACTATACTACAATTTAATTCCATCATGTTATCATGTTATAAGGTTAAACCACATACTGCAACGCTATGCGTTAATCCATGTTGTTCTCTCAGGTAAAAATTAAAACAAGGACAAAATTACCAGAATTTTTTTAACAAAACTACAGCCTTTACTTGATGTAAAATGTAAAAAAAATATCTTTCACACCATTAAAAAAGACAAATAATCATTTTACTAGTTCTATTATTCAATCAATTTTACTTGAAAATATTTTCAATAATGCAACAAGATATTCAACTTTTACAAGCATAGATAGTCTCTTTTTTGTAGAAAAACAAAGGATTATTTTACCATTACATATATAGTATTTTCATATGTCGAGACCGACTATCAATTATTTTTTTCTTTTAAAATATACAATTGCTTTTAATTACGAATGATGCTAAATGTTTTTATAAAACATCATTCTAATAATTGAATAATCCAAAATAAATTACTAGTGGAAATCAATTTTTCACGAACCGTAATTTATGAAAATATTGATAAATTTATATTTTTATATATAAGGAAACAAGACATGTAAAAACTGACCTGGTCCGCTAACATTTTCTAAGCCATCCGATCATTGCTATAAAATTGCTTAATTAAAATTTAAGAGCCTAATCGAAACAAACTATATAATTAGAGAACTAATTTGTAAATTCGTAATCTATACACGCATAAAAAATAAAAAAGAAAAAGAAAAAGAAATGGGGAAAAAAGACAAAATAAAGAGAGAGGTCTTATGTAGGGTTTAGTCTCTTTCGCTTCCTGGCAAGAAGCCGTGACAGCTTCTTTCTGCTCCTCCTCCAAATCACCAAACAAACAACATCCACCGATCAACAACCACTGCTCTCCGTCTCTCTTTCGTCTCTAGATAATCACTATCGCTTAATCGTCGATTCAATTTTTGGTTTTTAGAGAAAAAAGAATCGATTTCAATTATTTCAATTATCAATTTTTAGAGGTGGCAGCAGCATGGAAAATATTGCGATAAGTAGTAGTGAAGCGGAGCTAAAAATCGAATCGGGTGGGAACTTTGAAAACGGATCTAAGGTCGATTCTACTTTGAAAAGGAAGATAAAGTTTCAGCTGGCGACTAAGCAGTACAGTGGTTTTAAAAATAGTGCTGATTTTAATATTGAGACTTTAAATCCTGATAATAATTCGAGGAAGAGACCGTTCGGGTTTGAGCGTCACCATCCGGGTCATTCGGGGAAGAGAGTTGACGGGTCCGATTTTGTGGAAAATGGGCTTGATCCGGAGCTTTGTTTTGGGATCACTTTCAGGAGAATTGTGAGTTTTCATTTATTTATTTATTTATATCTTGTTTATGTAAAGTATATTTTTTTCTTCATGTATATTTTGAGGCATTTTTTTAGTTCTGTTTTTACTGTATGGTAGGAAAACGTTCTTGTTAGCTCGGATATGGACTTAATGGCTGAATTTTGAATGTATTAAAAATGTTGAGGATGTTATTTAGTTAAAGTTATTTGTTTTTGTTTATTTTTAGTTTTAGTTTTTAATTTCAAATTAGGGGTTCAAATATAAAGGAATTTACTATATGAGGAATCTGCTGATGTATCTGGTTGAATCCTAAATTTTAAATTGAAACTAAAAATAAATACAATTTTTTGAATCAAATAGCATCCTCAACTTTTGAAATATACTCAAAATAAAGCTATATATATGTGTTTTATTTTTATTTTATTTTTATTCCCTTTTCTCTATGTTTATCGACTTTTGCTAGCACAATTTTGGCATTCCCCATGCTTTATGAGTGCTTTTGATATTTTTAGGTTTTTTTTTTTGCTCATGATTTTTCGTTCTTTTTTTCTTTGGATTTTGCTTATTGGTTTAATTATAACTTTGTTTTGGTTGGGAAGATGGAACTTAAAAGTTTTCTTGCTAAGCAAACAATTTTAAATTAAGACATGGAATCTGCTGCAAATTCTTTTTCTTATTATTTTTATTGTTATTATTTTTTAGACTTGTACAAGATATTATTTTTTATTTTTTATTTTTTTAGTACTCCTGTTTGATCTAGTTTCGGTGTGCTTTCTGCTTGGTGAATTCTGTTTATACTGGTGGCATTTTCAAATGGAGGCTTGGTTGGTGTTGAGTTTTTCTTAATAAGTTTTTTTATTGGTCCTTTCCAGTTTCTCAATAATTTTTACCTCAACAGGTGTGATTGATTTTGGTTTAGCCATTCTCTCTCTCTCTCTCTCTGGTTATTTCTTTTTTGCATAGGCGTTTTTTTATTTACTTTTTTTGAAAAAAAAAAAAAAGAGGTCTGGGGGAGGCTTGAGGGGCACTTTCCAGCTTTTGGAAATTTTCACGTTATTTCTTAGTGCACTTTCTTGTTACTTCTAATTTGTTTCAGTTATACATTCTGATTTGGTGGGGAGGATGGGAAATAGAGATGAATGATTGAAGGGATGGAACTCAAGCTTTTTTTTTTTTTTTTTGGTCGGTTTGGTTGGAAGGGCAGAGGAGAGGAAAAAATTGAGGGTAACAAGCAAGAATCATGGCCTTCATCTCATGATCCTTCCAATTTTAAAACATTAAGGAATGTGAAGCTGTAGTTGGAAGGATTATAAAATATGTGAAGGAACAAACAGTCCTCTCCTCTTTCCCTTTGGTTATATCTACCCAACTAAACTAAGTGAGCTCCTCCCACCCTTCCCTCCTCATTCCTCCCACCCTTCCCTCCTTACACATCTGTCTTTCTTTTCTCCCACACAACTAAAGCATAGATCTTTCACTTGTTGCCTAATGTCTACTTTTCTCGTGGTGGTTTTTCTTTCCTTCCAATTGAATGTTATTTTTATGTTAGCTAAAATATTTCTTTTTGGCTTTTCCACTGAGTATGATTTCAGTTACTTTACAACATTTTAGTGGGAAAAATGAAGAAACGATATTATCTGACTGTTTTCTGTCCATTTGTCAAATTACGATTGCTTTGCAATTACCATTGTGTAGAACTTTGGTTTGTAGTTAAACATGGCCAGCAGCGTAACATGGTTGATCACATGAATTATTTTCAGGGTGCTGGTCTTGAAAATCTTGGGAACACTTGTTTTCTCAATTCAGTGGTGCAATGTCTGACGTACACTGAACCATTAGCAGCATATTTGCAAAGCGGCAAGCATCAAAATTCATGTGAGTGATTCTCCTACACTTGTTCTTGAGAAAGCATGCTGTATATTGCTGGGTGTCTGGTCCTCTCTGACACTTTATATGCTTCACAATTTGACTTAATTATTGTTGCTGCCGTGGATTTCCTGCATTATTTACCTCAATTGGATTGGACCGTTCTTAGTGGTGTTGAAGGTTGATTACCCCATGATGCTAGTTCATCAACTAATTCATCTTCTTAACCATCTTTGCATAAAATAAGGGAATATATATATATATATGTTGACAGCGTTGTTCATTACTGGTGTTCATGAAATCAGTTTTGCCAGTTTTTAATAACTGTATTTTGGTATATTACCTGTTTTTGACATGGCAGAAGTGATTAGTTTCTTACATCCTTCTGTTGCTTACGGCCATGAGCTTTGTTCCTGTTGGATCTACCATTTTAAAGGAATTAAATTGCTTGATTCTGGAAAACTGAAGAATAGTTGTTTTCTCAATTTGGTAGTGGTATGACATATACTGAGCCTTTAACAGCATACTAACATTGTGGCAAGCATCAAATTAACATGAGTGGCTCTCCTACACTTTCTCTCTACAGGCATGCTATCTCTTACTGGCTCTTAGAACCTCTTAACAATCTGTATACTGATCAGTTAACTCTAGGTAAAATATAGTTTCCTCATTGGTGTCTTGCATTATTTCCTAGGACTGGACTGTTGCTGGTGGTGCTGAGATTCATTAACCTCAAGCGAGCAGTCCATCGACTGTTCATCTTTTTTAAATGTCTTTGCACAAAATGGGGAATTGTTGTCCATCGACTATTCGTCTTTTTTAACTATCTTTGCACAAAATGGGGAATTTTTACTTTGATTTTACTGAGTTTTTTGAAATTGTCCATGCCCTTTCTTCGTGGCTGGTGTGCATTAATTTCATGATTTTACCAGTTTTTTAACTACCAATTTTGAATTTTGGTACATGTCTCAAGGGACTGGTTAATTTACTTGATGGCGGTAGTCAGTTTCTGATGTCTTTTCACCAATGCTTGTACTTTGTAACTGCTGTATATCAACTGGTGCTTTTTTTTTTCCCTAACTTTTTATTTGATTTATTTATGAAGGTCATGTTGCTGGATTTTGTGCATTGTGTGCCATCCAAAAACATGTGAGCCGTGCTCTACAATCAACTGGGAGATCACTAGTGCCAAAGGATCTTGTCTCAAATTTGCGCTGTATCCTTCTGATGTTTTGTGTCCTTTAATTTCTGGATTTTTGGTATGGTATTTTTTGTTATGTTAGCCAAATCTGCTGGATTAGTCTATCCATCTGTCATTATCAAGATGAAATAAGGAGGAGAAAAACTATGATTGTCACTACAACTTATATTATTCCCTTATGGTATTTTAGTAATCTTTGCTGTGCTTGACAACTAGTGTTGCAACGTGAATTTTTTTCAATTATGAATTGTGGATCTAAAATACATGTACAAGCAACTACCACCTTATGCCTCAAGAGTCTCCTGTAGAATTTTTTTTTTAAGAAAATAATTGTACTGCTTTAGGGCGCTTCTGTCATCAATATTGTCTGATGGGAGGCCTCAAATGTTTTTACCAGGCAAGGCTGTTGCTTCAGTTCACATGATTTGGTATTTTTATTTCTTAACCACATATTAGGCATATCTCGGAACTTCCGAAATGCTAGACAGGAGGATGCACATGAGTATATGGTTAATTTACTGGAATCGATGCATAAATGCTGCTTACCTTCAGGAGTGCCTAGCGAATCCCCTGCTGCATATGAGAAGAGTTTGGTACACAAAATCTTTGGTGGTCGCCTTCGTAGTCAGGTAAATTTTTATTGTTCTTTGGTGGATTCATTGACAATTTTCTGAGGAATGAAGTCCTCTCAGGGAAGTTCCTCTCTATATGAATGTCTTCATTGGTGTGTTCAAGATGTTGAATTAGTTCTAGAGAAGTGATTGGATAGAAATAATTACTACCATTTGTAAATGGCAAATGGTTTTGCATGATTTTTTTTTTTTTTTTTTTTGTATTTTGTGATTTGAATGTTCCATCTGTCTTTGTAATCTATTCCCATCCTCGATAAATGATTGTTGAGAATATTGCTATACTCAAAAGTTTTCTCGAACTTCTCAAAACACTAAATGCTTCTCTTGATACCTTTTCAGGTGGAATGCCAACAATGCTCTTACTGCTCCAACAAATTTGATCCATTTTTGGATTTAAGCCTTGAAATAGCCAAAGCAGATACCTTGCCAGTTGCACTTCGGAATTTCACTGCTGCAGAGGTGTTAGATGGAGGAGAGAAGCATTATCAGTGCCAGCGATGCAAGCAGAAAGTGAGGGCTAAGAAACGGCTTACAGTTCACAAGGCACCACATGTGCTCACAATACATCTAAAACGGTTTCATGCACATGATCCTGGACGGAAGGTTGACAAGAAAGTTATATTTGATCGTTCATTGGACATGAAACCTTTTGTCAGTGATTCCTATGTGAGTATGCACATTTTTGCTGTAAACCATTGCTCTGTTAGACTTGATGAAATGTCTTTTCTAGTATATTTAAGCTTACAGGTTCTTAAACCATTTTAGAATCCAGCAAGACCTCACAAAATTGTGGCATTTGATAACGTTCCAAATTATCTTCTATTCTCCCAGACTTGATGAAATCTGTTCTAGAATACTTAAACTTAGAGGTGTTTAAACCAGCTTTAAAATTCAATAAGATTTGAAAAAATGTGGCATTTGACTTTTGTTTTCTCTCATCGTGTTTTCTTTTTTATGTTATTTATCGAGGTCTTTATTCTTGGCAGGAAGGGGATTTAAAGTACAGTCTGTATGGTGTTCTAGTACACTATGGTCATAATACCCACTCTGGTCATTATGTCTGTTTTGTTCGAACATCAAGCGGTATTTGGCACCTCCTCAATGACAATCAGGTATGGTGGACTTAAGAATTCAATTTAGAAAATTTGCTACATGTAGAACCGCAAACTGGATGCAATTTTTCGTATTACTGGTGTTTGTGAACAGTTTTTTTATGAAATTAGCCTATTTCAATCTAACAGGTTCGTCAAGTTAGCGAGAAGACTGTTTTTGAGCAGAAGGCTTATATGCTATTCTACGTTCGTGATAGAAAAAATGTTGTTTCAAGAAAACCTGCTGATGTTGTTCAAAAAGAAAGCATGAAAGCAACCTTGGGCAGTAACTTTGTGAATCTGGTTGCCAAGCAATTCTCAAAGGAACTCATGGATGGTGGTTTGATTGGGAATAGATTGGAGGCTACGGACTCTTCTGCTGCCTTTAAGAAAATAGATGCGTCGAGTGTTGTTACATCATCAGAGATCCATCCAAAAGATGAATCATTTCAGCAAAGCAATAGGCTAACGTTGCCAAAAGTGGATCCTGCTTTAGAAACTTTAAGGGTACCATTGCCAACAGACCCATCAAATAGGGCTTCTTTGACAAATTCGGAACTTAGAGAATGCTTGCCACCTTTAACTCCATCTCTGAACAGCAATAATATTACTCCTAAACTTGAAAATCCTTCTATTATTACTGAGGCCAAAGCCAGTGACTGTAATGAGCCATCTAATAGCAGCAGTGGCCCCCAAATCTCTGCTATTGACAAACTTGTTAAAAGGGAGATCTCACAAAAGGTAACTGAATGTTTCATGCCCAGCATATGGGCCTGCCTCGTTGCCTCGTTGCTCCCTCACTTTGGTGCATTTTCACTTTGTTTCTAACTCGTGAATTCATTGATCAATCCAGATTAATGTTGACCTAAATGTTGGGGTTTCAAATCAAGTTTCATGTGGGGATTCTCGTGATACTGCAGTGGGTGAGGTCCCAAGATTGGCTCCATCATTAGGATCTATTGACAAGACATTTGATAAAACAGATGCTGTGAAAACACCTACCAAGCCAGGCCGTGAAAGTGATCAGGTGATTATATATAGGTACTCTTTTGGATACTACAGATAATATCATTGTTTGGCCAAGTTTTGATTTATTTCTTTATTGTCAGGGTGGCGATATCCTCATTGAGAGTGCTGCTAGGAAAACACCTAGTGATAAGGCTGGTAAAGGTGGGCAACAAATTTTATATGAGTCGGTCGAGGCTTCAATCCCATCTGTCGTTCAAAATGAATGTTTGCCTAGGAAAGCTCCTGATTGCACATCTAAAAAGAAATTAAAAAAGAAGCTTCTCAAGCATAGGATGCAACTTGGCTCAAGCTTATTCAAGGTCTCCTTAGGCCTTAACAAGAGGAAAAAACACAAAAAGAGCAAATGCTGCACTTTGGAGACCAATAATCTCATTAAAGAAAACTTGCTTGAGCAGCTGGAGAATGATGGTTTTTCATCAGGGTTGGGACCATCAACATCCAAAATCTCCTCTACAGTTTTATTGGCTTCAATGAATTCTCAGAGGAAGATGGCTAAATCTGGTTCAAGAAAGGGAGATAATGCAAGAAAGCGCGGTGGTATAGGTGTCGTAAATGGAGAATCTGTGGAGAGAAATTGTCCAAGTGGTGCCGAGCTTGCAGTGGATGAACAGAAACAAAAGAAATCTATCTCAATCTCTGAAGTAAACCAAGGAGATGCAAGAGAACCTGACTCCACAGAAAATAGCAAAAGATATGCATCACAGAATGGGATGACGAGTGGACTTACAGGGGGTCCTGAGGAGACTGGTGAGTACTGTTCTGAAATTCTAATCTGACCATCTATAGCATATCAATTTAAGCAATTGAGCATGCATCACTTGTTTACCCAATAGTTTGGTTTATGCTCTAGTGATTGCTATTCAGATTTTTTTTTTCATTCTTTTTTTCACCCTAGATCATGGTGGAACGAATCTGAAATTCTACATATCATTCTTTCTTCATAGTAGGAGATTTATATAATAGGACCATCAATTATTGAATTCAGCCCCCCTTTAGCTATTCCCACACTTGTGTGCCTGGTCTGCTTAAGGGGTGCTGATGTCTTGTGGAGCTGTTGGCAGGTGTCTCGATGCATAAAGTAACCTGCCCAGGTTCGTGCCTTCGGTCAGGTGGAGCATGGTTTGCGCTTCAGTGCTGAGAGTATAGAACAAAATGCTAATTCTGTAACAAACCTAAATTGGATGTCTTTTTATTGGTTTATATGATTATAATACCTTGATTGGAAATCCATGCAATCAAGACTTGAAAGTTTGCTTTTGTGGCAGGGGCCAGAAAGCTAGATTGTAACTCTTGCTTGGTAGACATGTTTCTGCCCCTTAGCTCAATTCTCAGACATCAATTTTTTTCACTGCCTGCTAATTTCTTACAAAGTAAAGACAGATCAAACTAAACAGAAGACCCTGAGATCTATTTACATGCAGTTGTGACTAAATTCTTGATTGGAAATTAAACTCCTCTTAAGCTGAAAGTCTATCTAGCTTGCAAGACCATCTCTGCTGCTTGCTGAAAGTTGTTTTTTGCCTTGTTTTGTTTGTTACAGTTGCACCTTGGGATGGAATAGAGTTGCCATCTCAGATTGTGGAATCCAGTGGCGGGGAAAATCTCAGCATTGGTTATGTAGCAGATGAGTGGTGAGTTTGAATTCCACTTTTACTGTACTTTTTTGTTTTTAGAATGAAAAATAATGTAACCTATTACAGAAGGGATATAGTTGCTAAGAAAATTAGTTTGCTTATCGGACCTGCTCTATCTGTAATTTTAATCTTGTTCTGCATGGTGCAACTTCCATTTTATGCAGGGATGAAGAATATGATCGAGGTAAGAGAAAGAAGCTAAGGCAATCTAAGCACAGCTTTGTCGGGCCAAACCTTTTCCAAGTAGTTGCTATGAAGAAAAACCAAGTTAAAAAGGCAAAGAAGGACCGATCTAGGTGTGGAAACCAGCCTTTCAGGATATGAAGCAATCCGTATGATTGACTCTCAATTTTATGGGATCGTGATTTGTCGACATGCTGTTATATTGTATGTAGCCTATTGTTGCTGTGTTTGGCCTAAATTGCCTTGGCAGTCTAGCATAAAATCTTCTAGGCTCTTACCAATTTTGTTTTTGTTTTCTTCTTTTTCCTATATTCATTGAGTGAGAGACTTGTTATCTGTAACACCTTAGAAAACCGAGCTGAAAAAAGCTTTCATGTATTGAGAAATGTACTAGTATCGTTCTGTTAATTGATGAACATTGTCATCTAGAATTTTATAACAGTGGTGCTGATAAACTGTCGAGTCAAGGAAGGTAGTCCATGAAGCTGACGGTCTTTGTGATTTTTGACCAAAAGAACGCATGCAATCCATGGCCATAGAATTTACCTGTTAAATGCATCTGCTTGTCTCAGTGAGGGTCGTATGCTTTTAAGTTGTTCCCCTGCCCTCAATTTATGTCAGGGAAAATGGATTTTTCTTCCGAGTAATTGAGCTGATTTATTTTCATATTCATATGCTGCTTTTTATTAATAAAAGTCAGATGGATCAAAGAAAGATCATGTTTCCCAGTGATCCATGAGAACGCTCATTAGCATTATAGGAACGATTCCGAGCACCATTGACTTTTCTTTACCGAAAACATCTGGGGGGATGGTTTTTTGATCATTTTGAGATGCTCACATGCATAAAAAAACGTAAATTTGCGTGCATTATAAATACATGGTGTGTCAATAATGGGCAAAGCTCTGGAGTGCTTGTGGTGATGATCGACACCATTGGCTGGTTATCAGAAATAGCATCATCACTAGCCAGTGGTAGTAAACTTCATTTCTACTCTAATTATCCATCCTGAAGGCATATGGTATGGCAATCATAACGCATGCACCATGCCTATCCCGTATCTGAACATGTACAAATTGAGCTTTTGATTTTTACTTTCTAGTTTCTCAAAAAGGACATGAATACAGCTTCTTTCGCATGATAATTGTCGTATGTTTGCAGCAGCTCCTTTAATCGAGTTCTCTTGATCGAGAAGCTGGTTTAAATAATTTGGTGTGATTAAAGATATCATCGAAGGACAGCTTGAAAACAAGATCTTAGATGTTTATTAGACAATGGTCCTGAGATACCTGAAATCATTTCGAGAACATTCACTCACATTTAATCACTCCAGTGGTCATGGTGGTGCGTGCAGCTTGCTCATTTCACCTTCTTGTTTGAATTAATTAAAATACCAACATTAATCTTTGGCTCACTTGGAAAGATAGCACGTCAGGAAATAGTTATGTAGGAATACTGCTACTATATAATAAAATATCTAAGCAGAATGGCTTACAACTGGATTCTGGCACAGGGTTCGATCAAACTCGTCCAAATAAAAATTTTCAAAATAATCTAAAATATTTCCCAAAAATCAAAACAGTAGAAAAATTATACTTAAATTCCACACGTTTGATGGCATAGGCGTGTAGCTAGCGGCGTTCATGCCATCTTTCAGCCTTGACTTAGGTGGTAATATGATTTATTCCTTCGGTTTGCCTAAGATAAAGACTTGCAGAGATTTAATCTCAATAACTGATAATTAATCGGACAATAACTTAACCTAAAAAATTCTATCAATGAAAAAATAAATAAATTGCTAAGATTAAAAAAAGGAAAGAAAGGTATTTGGTTCATGTGCTAACTATTGAATATTAAGTGAATATGCTCTTTAGGTTTTTTTTTACATTAAATATGAATTTATGAAAAAGTTAAATAGCTCAATCTGATTTATATAATAACTTAAGTCTTTAATTTATTTATATATTTTTAACTGCATCTATTATATCTTTGAATAATACTAAAGTCTTTAATTTATCATTTCAATCAATTTTTTTCGATTATTAACAAATTTTTTTACTAAAATATTAAAAAAAAATTCCAAGATTTCAAAAATAAAACATACAGGGTATGTATTTTAATTTTTTTTCCAATCTAGGGTATTTCGGTCAAAAAATTTTATTTATTATAAAAAAATTGATCGAACCATGAAAGAATTAAACATTATTTAAAAAAAAAAAAAACATAGTAGATGTAATTAAAAACATAGTACATGGAACTCCAATGCCACGGACAGTTATTTCTGAACTGGAATAGAGTTCAAGAATGATGTTTTTTTTTTTTAATAATTAGAGAAATATTAAACAAGCTATTGTTTGAAGAATAAGTTTGCTGGCATGAGAATGACATAAGATGATATTAATATTAATTTTGTTGAAGCAAACGGTAATAATAAATAACAATGTCGGTTGATTTCTTGTGACTCTTCACCCTCAATCAATGCAAATCATTAAGATTGCTTCTTCTTCTTCCTCATTTCATCCTTTCATTGTCGGATCTAAGGCGTGCTCAAATCTATCAAAACTCTTTTCTATCACTTTAATCGCTTTTCTGAGGGGCATCGATTATCCATGTGAAGAGACTGTGTTACCCTTGCAAAATGTATTTTACTTTTGTTACAGCAAGGGTAGTTCCGACATTTAATTAATCCTCCTCATAGACCTTTTTTGAGTCAACATATACTAAGCAACGCTTTTGTGTAATAATTAGCGAGAATGAGTACTATCATTAATCAAACAACCATTATTAATTATTATGCTTTCGCAAATCACAATCCAACAATCACTCCAAAAGTCTGAAACCAAAAAACAAAAAAAATAAAATAAAAACAATCACTCTAAAAGTACAGAAGGTGTGGGGCCTAAAGCAACTCGACGTTCATACCATGCAATGGAATGGAACCCCAAATCTAATCTTTTTAATGACTTGAACTTGGACTCAAGTTGTACAATTAGATTTTATTAGGCTATCTGGCATGATTAGACAGGTATCGTTCTTCGCATTTGTCTATGGAGATGACCTATCAAGTTGCTTGTCCCAATTTGCGTTTACAATTGTTGGGTAAAATTGGTCCATGTTAGATCATAAGAACTAATTCATTAGTAAATAAGCGTTAATTCATAAGATAAGTCAAATATTCTATTCTTCTTGTTGATATTATGAAAATTTTATTTTTAAAATATTCAAAATCACATGATGAAAAATGTTTTTTAATTACGTCCAATGTCATAGCTAATACAAAAATATTTTTATTGATGAAAAGTTTTATTCTTTTTTTATCCATATTCTCATTTTATTTTTTTAATCAAACACTTATGAAATTAAAATAAAATTTTTTTTTTTATCTTGTTAAAAAAATCATTTTAGTTTTTGCACTATAGAGCATAAAAGAATCAGACGATCAAGTCATTGCTATTCAACCTTACATTAGACTTATTTTATCTCTTGTCTCTAATTATGGGCAAGAAAAATCTGCGAAGGAAATGGGTTGGTATATACAATTTGTCAAAACCTGCATAGTCAACAAATGAAACTTCCCACCACCCTACTGAGGCTGCCTATTGGACATTTGATTAAACTAATTGAGCATATGTAACTGGGCAGAACAGTAGTAACAGTGACAGAATTTACCAAATGACAAGCCGAAAAGAGGAGTTGAAAAGTTCTTTTTTCTTTTTCTGAGATTGTTCAAAACTTCATTTTCCGTTTTTTACACATATTAAGGTACTAGAATCATAGAAATAAAAATACAAAAATCGAAATGATATTTATATTTTTATATTGTATTTAGAATACTAATGAGTAATTAAAATATAATTTAAATTTTTTTAATATCTTATTTTTTATATAAATAAAAATAATGATTAAAAAAATATTTTTATTAAACATAATGGTTGTAAAATTAATAAAAGTAATGATGATTGTGGTTATGACAATGATGATGGTGACGGTAGTAATTACGATAGTGGTAGTGGTGGTGGCTATGATGGTTGCGATTACAGTGGTGATAGTAGTTATAGTGGTGGTTGCGATGGTGATAAAAATAGTTAATAAATAATAAATAAATAAAATTTATTATTATTTTGAAAAAAAATTCATTCTCATTCCTTATTTTTATTCCCACATCTTATATGGGAATTAAGTTATGTGTAAATTTTCATTCACATTCCCACTTTATTCCTTTTAATCAAACAGACTACAATGTGGTAATAAAACTTTCATTTTCATTCTCATCACTCTATTCCTAATTACCAAACAACACATAAAATTTTTTTACTATCATGTGATTTTCTACGGTAGACATCAAGGAGATTATGTGATTTAGATTTTGTGCCATAAAGTTTACACTAAAAATCTATACACCTACACAATTATTAAACAATTAGGCATATTTTAACGGTTCAAATATATAATAGGTTTTTTCAAAGTGTCTAGCTGGATCGGAGTTTCAATAATTCTAATTTATTCTTGTTACTGTATTCCATCATATGACCAAAAACATAATAAATCTCTCACCAATCCAAAAAGTAAATTATAAATTAGTTTTTCTTGTTTTAAGAAATAAATTAATCAGTCCTTCTTAGTTTAAAAACCAATTATTTAATCCTCATATTTTGAAATTTACTTATAATTTAGTGATTTTATTCTTTTTTAATTTATTTTGATTTTTTTCAAGAAATATAAAAAAGAAAAAATATGAAAAGATTATGAGAAAATAATAGATTTTATGAAATAAAAATAATATTAAATTAAGCATAATCAACACCGATTAAAAGATTAAATAATAGTTTTTGAAATGAGAATGACTAATTAATTTATTTTTTGAAACTAAAAGGACTAACTTATAATTTACTCCTAATAAAAAAAATTATACTACTACGTCATTTGGTCTATATTCATTTAATTCATTAAAAATATATTATGAAATAGAGGATCCAACCATCTTTGCATGAAAACATAATCTTCATGTCTCGTTGACACAAGAAAACAACTTGCAGTTATTCAAAACTTCAAAGCACTTCCCCAAATCAGGAAGTTAGCTACAAAACTCTCAGCAACTGCGAAGATCTGTCTCTGTTTTTTTCTTCCACTGTCTTTTGTGGGACAAAATCTTATGAACGATCATCTTTCCTTATATTTCAGACATTATAAAGTGTACTACAAGGTGGTCCAAGATCCAAAATTCTACAAAAAGTAAGAAAACGCAAAAACTGAATAGCGAGAACTTATTATTTGGTATATGGATCCTTCAAGGGACTGAACAACAACATTTTTTAAAAAGATGAAACTTTTGAAAAGATAAAAAAGTCCTTTTTCTTGCTTTTTCTTGCTACCTAGGATTGGTATGATTAACTTTCGTAGAGATTTGATTCTGTTTTCCATCTCCCCAAGCACATTGCATTAGAGTTAATAATGAAATGAATAATTATAACCACAATTAAGAAAAAGTTTAACTTACTAATTACCATATAAAGAAAAACAAACATTGAATGAGAATCATTGAATACACCCAACAAGAAGCACTGATAAATTCACCAAACCAATAGATATTTATTATCGATTTTCTCCTTATTTATGGACCCCAACTCCTGTCCACCTCTAAACTGTCATTTCTGTTCCCAATATTGCCCTTGCTCTGTGTTTCCAACTTACCCTTGAAAAAGAAGAATACTCATACTACTTGGCTGATTATAAAAACATGCAAGCAAAGAGGCAAGAGAGCTTTTCCTTGATCTTCTACACAACAGAGACAAAAGTGCTTCTTCCCTTTGCCTTGTTGGCTTTGCCTTTCACCTACAAAACCAGACAAAGTACGCTCACGTTCTCTTTTCAAACTCCATAACCTTCATAATACTCAAATACCCTTTTGTTATCTCAATAGCAGCTCTCCATTTTTGGTCTTTCTGGGTACATTTTTGGCACTTTCTGTGCATTTCAATATTTCCACAAGTTTTTAGTTCAGTGGTTTTGAGAGTTTTTAGCCCAAGTTTTTATCCTTTTTTTTTTCCCTAGAAACAAAAAACACCCCAGAAGACTCTGTTTAATGGAGTTGAATGAGCGCGAAAGCACTAATTAAGATGGACTTAGAAGCATGAATGTTGTAGTAGTGGTTTTATTCTGAACCACTAGAGAGATTGAGCTAGTTTTGGGGTTTTGGTTCAAGTTTGGAAGTTTTAGTCTTTGATTCCTAATGGGTTTTGGTTTCTTTGGCTCTCTATTGATTCTTTCACTGTTCTTCAAGCCTTTGGCTTGTCAACAACAACCCAATACAGATGGGTTCTTTATCTCTGAGCTTTTGAAGACCATGAGCATAACTTCTTCTTCACTGTACAACTTTTCTGCTTCTGTTTGTTCATGGCAAGGCGTGTTCTGTGATGCCAAGAAAGAATATGTTGTTGAGTTTCTGGCTTCTGGTGTAGGCCTTTCTGGCTCTATTCCTGATACCACCATTGGTAAACTAAGTAAGCTCCAAACTTTGGATCTTAGCAGCAACAAAATCACATCATTACCTTCAGATTTGTGGAGTTTAGGATCTATCAAGGTCCTCAATCTATCTTCAAATCAGATTTCTGGGTCCGTCCCCAACAACATTGGCAATTTTGGTGCGCTTGAAACGATTGATCTATCAAGCAACAATTTTTCTGGTGAAATCCCTGCAGCAATAAGCTCCCTTGTTAGTTTGAGGGTTCTTAAACTTGACAGAAATGGATTTGAAGGAAGCATTCCATCGGGAATTCTGAGTTGCCAGTCACTGTATTTTATTGATCTTTCTATGAATAAGCTGGATGGGTCCTTACCTGAAGGTTTTGGTGCTGCTTTTCCTAAGCTCAAAACCTTAAACCTTGCAGGAAATGGGATTCAAGGCCGGGACTCGGATTTCTCACTAATGAAATCCATCACTAGCCTTAACATTTCCGGGAATTCGTTTCAGGGTTCAGTTATGAGGATGTTTCAGGAGCTGTTGGAGGTGATGGACCTGAGCAAGAACCAGTTTCAAGGTCACATTTCTCAGGTACAATTCAATTCTACCTACAATCGGTCTCGTTTGGTTTACTTGGACTTGTCAGAGAATCAGCTTAGTGGAGAGATTTTTCATGCTGTCAGTCAGGCCCCCAATCTCAAATACCTTAATCTTGCATTCAATAGATTTACTAGAGAGGAGTTCCCGCGAATTGATATGCTTGGGGAATTAGAATATCTCAATTTGTCTAAAACCAGTCTCATTGGTTACATTCCGAGTGAAATCACACAATTGAGTAATTTGCACACGCTTGATCTTTCTCAGAATTATCTCATTGGCGGAATTCCTCTGCTAACTATCAAAAACCTTCAAATTCTTGATTTGTCACACAACAATTTGAGCGGAGAAATCCCAGTGTCCCTCTTGCAAAAACTCCCATGGATGGAGAGCTACAGTTTCTCTTACAACAATTTAACCCTTTGTGCCACAGAATTTTCCCACGAAACCTTCCAAACACACTTCTATGGATCATTAGACAGCTGCCCAATTGCTGCAAACCCAGGCCTTTTTCAAAGAAAAGTCACCAACCACAAGGGAGTCAAGGGACTAAAGCTTGCTCTGGGTTTAGCCCTTTCCTTGGCCTTCTTGCTTGCCGGACTGCTATTTCTTGCCTTTGGTTGTAGAAGGAAATCCAAACTGTGGAAAGTAAAGCAAACCTCGTACAAGGAGGAGCAAAATATTTCAGGCCCTTTTTCCTTCCAGACTGATTCAACTACGTGGGTTGCTGATGTTAAGCAGGCAAATTCAGTCCCGGTGGTGATTTTCGAGAAGCCATTATTGAATGTCACTTTTGCAGACCTTTTGTTTGCAACTTCAAATTTTGATAGAGGCACCCTTTTGGCTGAAGGGAAATTTGGGCCTGTTTATAGGGGATTTCTTCCTGGAGGAATTCATGTAGCTGTAAAAGTGTTGGTGCATGGATCCACACTGACAGACCAAGAAGCTGCCAGAGAACTTGAGTACCTTGGTCGAATTAAGCACCCCAATCTCGTTCCATTGACTGGGTACTGCTTAGCTGGGGATCAAAGAATTGCCATATATGATTACATGGAGAATGGGAACTTGCAAAATTTGCTTCATGACTTACCACTTGGGATTCATACAACGGAAGATTGGAGCACAGAGACATGGGAAGAAGATGACAATAATGGAATTCAAAATGTTGGCTCTGAAGGGTTATTAACAACCTGGAGATTCAGACACAAAATTGCACTAGGCACTGCTCGAGCATTGGCATTTCTTCATCATGGCTGCTCACCTCCAATTATTCATAGAGATGTCAAAGCTAGTAGTGTGTATCTAGATTATAACTTGGAGCCAAGATTATCTGATTTTGGCCTGGCCAAGGTCTTTGGCAATGGTTTAGATGAGGAGATTGCTCGTGGCTCCCCTGGTTATGTTCCACCAGAGTTTACTGATCCAGACAACAACAGCCCTACTCCGAAATCTGATGTATATTGCTTTGGAGTTGTTTTATTTGAGCTAATTACTGGGAAAAAACCAATTGGAGATGATTATCCCGAAGATAAAAACTCAACTTTAGTTAGTTGGGTTAGAGGATTGGTAAGGAAGAGCCAAGGATCCAGAGCAATTGATCCGAAAATTCGCAATACTGGACCAGAACGTGAAATGGAGGAGGCCCTCAAGATTGGATATCTGTGCACAGCTGACCTTCCCTCAAAGCGACCAAGCATGCAACAGATAGTTGGACTTCTCAAAGATATTAATCCAACAACTCATGAATGAAGAAGTAGAAGTTGGTTCCTGTGTTTTCTTTTAACCTATCTTCTACCGTTATTTGTATTGAGTTTTTTTTAGCAGCCAATTGGGGAATGGGAATGATTGTACAGTAGTCCTCAAAATTCTGTTTAGGGTTTTTGATGTTTTCTCTTTACCTTTCCTTTGTTGATGGCATTAACAGTTAATTTATACGCGAGAGCTTGATCCCGGAAAGTTATTCTTCTTCCAAGTTTTCCTGTCTACCTTAGCATTTATTAGATTCTTTTTTTCTGGTGAGTAAAACATCAGAACTTATACAAAGCCTTTTAACTTGCTACATTAGTAAGATAATGAAACAAAGAGTTTTCTATCCTGTTGTTCAAGTTGACAGAGGAGACTAATCACTGCCTTCTCAATATTGAAGCAAAAGCCTGTTGAATTAACTGTGTTAGTAGTTGTTGTGTTGGCCTTTTAGGCCTCCCCCAGAGGCTGTGTGGCTCTTGCTCCTGGCTTCTGCTGATGCCGACTTGATGGTCCTTGGTGGTAGCTGGGTGCGCAAGAGGAGTGATCCATACTGTAAAATGGATTGATGAGACCATGGACCGCTTCTGAACCATTAATGCATGAGGGGGTTCTCTGTGGTTACACATAGGAAAAGAAAACTTTAGATGCGGTTTGCAAGGAACAATACACTGTAACTGGTCTCACCCTTGACATATACTACTAATCTTCGTTTTCGGCCATGTTAAGACAAGCCCCATTAATGATTAGGGGACAAAGATTAGAGAGATTAATGCACAAAATCTTTATTAAAACAAAGATGAGAGGGAGATAGAATCACGTGGCAAGTTCTATAGCATATAACAAAATCCATTTTTTTTGTTTTGACTTATAGAAAGAGCAGCATGTTCATAATGATTTTATATATGTTCTTAATCGTTTCCTGCCACATTAGTACTGCAAGGAAGAATGCTTTACCTCATCATTATCTGGTATGGAACTATTTATTAATAACAATGTGTAAGGACACATTCTAGAGATGGCTTTGAGTATGACTGGCATAATTGGCTCGGGTGATCACATGTTCGATTCTTTTGACCCTCAGCAAATGTCAAGAATGACACCGACAAAAGAAAATACCATCTTCCATAATGTCCTTAATGATGGGTTATTCCAAATTAATTAGAGGTTCAAGAATTCACTTTTTTTATTGACCAAGGACCCTAATAAAAAATTATTGATGTAACAGTAAACAAGTTAGTCTTCAGTTGAATTTTTTATTTGTATATAAAATTTGAATTTTAAAATTATATTTCCTAAGAAGAGATAATTTCTATAACTAATAAGATTAATCATTTCTTATGAAATATATAAAGAAAAGACGGCAATAAAAAAAATCACAAGTTGCATTCTTCTATTGTCATGAGATAAGTGTCCACAACCGCAAAGGATCTTGTCCTTGCTTCTAACTCCCAGTGTCAAGGTTGTGTCAATGCACCTTTTGCCATGTGAAAACATTGATCTTCCACTCTTTTGTTATCTATCAAAATGAAATACAAAAGATAAAGTGAAAGTAAAATCTTCTTTCTTGCACGGCAAAGTTGTTATAGAAAAAGCTGACCCATGCTTTTGCATATGCAAAAATTTCCACGCCAAACTTTGAATCCAAGATGTTACAATAGGGTTGAAAATGATGTGTTCTTCACCCATATTTTGTTCACCAATTGGTGGGGACAATGAGTGTCAGACACGGTCCACAATCATCATCATCGTGATCGTCAATAATAGCTCAAGTCATGTTTTGAAAGCTTCCTTGCTCATAGCCCAAAATTTGATTACTTTCTCCTTATCATCATAAGAAATGAAAGGCAAATACAACACTCCAAATTCTAATTACCTCAATATATTGGGAATAAATAAATAAATAACTGCAGTGGATACAATGTACGTAATTAGTATAACTATAACAAATAAATATACAAATTTTCTGCCGTTCAAAAGAGTAATGATGCAGGGCAGTTTTCTTCAATGGGCTTAGAGTCCATGACTATGCAGTGGCTTGGCCCACAGTCATTGTAAAAAAACACACTCTTGCAATTTCCAAAGTCGGTCCGGCTACAGAAGCCAGTTTATCTACCTACAAAGGTGGGCCCAAGACTCAGCATGGGTTTTATGTTACATGGGCCAATGGGAAGAAGGCCTGTTAAAATGATCCTAAGGTATGTTTGTGTGCGGATACTCTAAACTGTAAACCCAAATTTCCCATTGGGTTTGCTTTTTTAAAATCGATAAAATACCTTCAATTTTCATTTTCCCTACTATTTTGTCTAATTTAATGATTATAATTTCTTGGAACGTGCAAAGGACGTGTGTCAATTACTTTAAAAAATTTATAGTGTTTCTTTTCTAATTTTAATGTATTATTTAGAATTATCTATAGATGAGTAATTTGAATGTTTATTAAATATAATCATGTTTGATTTTTAAATAATTTTATATAAATTTTGATTGTTATAATTAAATTCATTAGAGAACCATATAAAATATTTTTAATTAAATTTGAGTAAAAATGAGGGATATGCATTGAATTATCTTTCAAATTTTAATAATTAGTAGTTGAGATAAATATATATAACTCTTAAAAATAATAATTACTAAAAAAATTCATTTAACGTTATATTATTATGAATTTTTTTTTATTTTAAACAGTTCTTTTCAATTATATGCGACATGAATACAAATTAATAATACATACATGTATAAAAACTTTACAAATTATTTTCTTAATAAATTTTAATTTTTTTAAATATTATTGGTGTATGTCCAAAAGAGTGAAAAATAATGTAAGAAAATTGAAAAAAAAAAGCTTATAAAAATTAAGTAAGGGTTCAATTTAATAAATTTGATGAATTTTGATGTAATTCAAGTATTTTTGAATTTTAAAACTTCATGTTTTGTATTGACTTGTTTTTAAGTCTTCGAGAGTTTTAACATCCAAAATAAAGCACTAATATTATAGTACTACACTAGTTAGATACCCACTCTACGATGCGGTCGGACAATTATTATATACGCGGGGTCAACGATTCGTATGGTGTGATGCGAATAGAAGTTTTGTTTCGGAAATTAATGTAAATTGAATATCTCTATTAAGCAAACTTTTTTGATTTATATATTTTTATTAACAAAATAATTTATAATATTAATATAAAAATTTATATTTGAATAATTAAGAGGTTCTTCCAAAACATCAATTAACTTATTTTATTTAAAAATACAAATTTCAGAACATGAAAAAAATAAATAACAAATAATTAGTGTTATGTATGGAGATATAATTAATTTCTAAGAAAACTACTATATATGTATTGTACCTAGTAAGTAAGCGGGTTTGTGCATTACTGCGGATCCACTTATAAAAAAATAGTTTAGTTTTTTTAGTTAATTCTTGTTAAAATAGAGATGTACTATAATTAATTTCAATCAATATTTTCTTATAATAATACTGTACAAAAAAATTAAATTAATCTATTTTAATTTACTCAATTTGATGAAGTTTTTCTCTAACAAAAATTTCACTTCATAAAGTTTATATTATGAATATAATTAAAAATATATATATATAACTAAAATTTTAAAATTTGGAGCATTTATTTCCTAAATTTAAAGAGAGAAGTTTATTTTCTAAATTCATTGAAATCTCAACCGTAAAATTGATGCTATACATATTAAAGAAAGGACAATTGTGACTTCAAAATTAGCCTATCCGGCATTTCATTTCTAAATTTAAGATGGAAAGCTAATTTTTAAAATACAAAAGTCTTATGGCTTGATAACTTTTTAAATAAAAAAAATTGCTTCTAGAATTAAGGTTAAAAAAAAGAAGATAAGTATTAAATTTATTGACTCGTAATGAATTTTGAAATTTCATTCAAATGAACTTTTCCATGGAGTATTTCTAACAATGTTAAAATTTAAATTGCTCAACATTTTATACATAAATGAAAAGTTATCTTTTTCTAATATCCAAAGGTTAATGTCTTAATAAATCAACAAAAATTTTCTTAGATTTTAAAAAATACACAAAAAAAAAAACCATTGAAATCTCATGGAATATATCGAACTGAAAGATTTAAACAAAAATCATTATAAAATTGGTTTCGATAAATTTTGAATATATATATATATAACAAAATAAAACCTGTAAAATTTTTAACTAATTATTAATTTTTTAAAAAATTGAATCAAATTATTTTTTTAATTGATTGTTATTTTTTAAAAAAATTAAGTCAAATTATCTAAAACATTATTAGCTCTCTCTCTCTCTCTCTCTCTCTCTCTCTCTCTCTCTCATCGGAATTTATATATGCAACTAAGCTACTCTTATTTAAAAATCATAAAAATAATCAATCGTATAAATTATAATAATATATTTTAAAAAATAAAACGATCACATTCTTAAATCCTATTTCAAAATCAATATATAAAAAAATCAAATTTATTAACAATAAATTATATAAAAAAATAAAAAAAAATTGATGAGAATTTTAATAAGAAACAAACAATTGAAAAAATAAATTTTAAATAATAAAAATAATATAATCGGATATATATGTTCAAACGAAAATCTTTAAAAATATCATATACATTACATTACCGTCAAGTTGTACATAAAACTAAAAAAAAAAAATTTTGTTTTATATTTTCGCACCAAAAATATAAAAAAAATTATTGAAAAGGAAAAAAAAAAAGACAAACGGCACGTGCGGACACCGTGAGCCGGGCTCGCTTGAACTTGTCTGCCGAGCCCAGTCGAGCCTCGTCGCTCAAAGGTTAGTCGCCGACCAGCCCTTTAAAAGAAAAAAAATACTACGGTAAATAAACGAGTGAAAACCCTAAATCTTTTAATTTTTTTAGTAATAGTTTGAAAGTGATCTAAGTAGCTTGTTTGCTTTATGTTATTTATAATTTACGAGTGTATAAATAATAAAATAATGAAAAAAAGATATTAACCTATATTTTAGCAT